AGCTAGCTAGCAGTCAACAGCTAGCTAGCAGTCAACAGCTAGCTAGCAGTCAACAGCTAGCTAGCAGTCAACAGCTAGCTAGCAGCTAGCTAATTTTTCAGCCATTCAAAAGATATGTTGCTAAAAAAATCATATATCTCATCAAATGCCACAAAGAGCACAGACGATTATATTTTTAAATCGATATACACACTAATTTTTATCATGTCAAAATTAAACGTGTTACCTATGCTAATGCTAATATGTCTGCATGTAGCATTCTAAAAGCCTGTACCTGACTGCAGTGGTGATTCACTGATATCACCTGCTGCCTGAAGCCTTTTCAGACCTTTTTCACGTGTCACATAAGCTAATTTCATTTCCAGTGGCTTCGTTCCAAGAGGCTAACCGTCAGGCATGATGATGAGCCATTCAGCTCACCTGAATGGGGAACGGTGCCAAACCTGCCTGCTGTTCAAAGGCTCTGCGTGCTGGATTCCTGTCATAGCTCCGAGCTACACCTGAATACAACAGAGCTCATTCATCATTAGCATTTTACAGACATCCTCTAATGAGCAGGACCGAACCTCGTGACAGATTCTAACAAAACCAAACTGTGTCCAGTCCTGACTTTGGGAACAAATACCTGAGGCATTTGAAACAGGTTTTCCATATTATCCATATTCAGACAGTGGAACGCAGCCAGGAAGCTGGTGGAGTCAGAAGAAAAATCTGTGTTTGGGATATTACATCACTGAGTGCATTCACTTCACACACACACTAAACAAGAGTATTCCCACACAGCGTTCGGCCATGAATATCAGTTCGTGTCATGTCTTTGCTCTCTGTCCTCGGGGCTCGGACTGACAGATGTTTTCTAACAGGTTCCACATTCGGCTTCCAGATCAACAAACGCTGACATACTCGTGAAGCTCCACACAAGCAACAACCTCGAGGATAAACAGCTCGTGAACTGCATGTCCACAGAGCTAACACGCACAGACGTTTTTAGAAAGAAGTGTTTTTCCCACATTTTATTTGTGCACATCTGCTATGAGCAGATACACCAGTCAGCTGCACGATTCATGTGCAGAGCGAGTGAGGCTGATCGTCATGTGACAACGCGGCGTTCTGCAGGGCATACATGTGGCATACATCTCATTGCACCCCACCCACCTTAAAGACTTACCACCAAATAATGAATGAGAAGTCAATACTGATGCTATGTGAAGTGATGGAAACCAGTCTGTGTGTGTACATGATGTCAGGTTAACCTATAGCAAAGGCCACAGCACCTGTTCTCATAACACACCTCACATCTCCCACGTGGAGATGTCACCATAACCTTTATTGGACCTGGATTGAGTGCGAGCGTTATCACGCATGCCTCGATCGCCTCCCATCCAACTCCGTTCTTCCTCGCTGGTGTTATTTAGATTCTGCCTCTGGGTCCTTACTTCCTGCTCGGTCATTAAAATCCAGCCCACATTGCCCTCTGGTTTATTTTCTGCTACTGTGGGCACAGAAATTGGTTATCAACAACAATTACCCGTCAACCCTGAAGGTAAAAACATGTATATTGTAGCTTTTAATGATGAGTGTGGGTGAAGAGGGGAGCTTGCAGAAACACGATGAAGCAAAGGCTGAGAGGAAAATAAGAGAATAAAAATGTATGGAGTGGAATTAATTCACGATATAAGAACTGGCAGAACATGCTGACCTTGTTATTCCCGACGGACTCGCCGTGCACCGTTCATATAATTGCATTATCCAAAATATTTCTTACATCAATCTCACTATTTTTTAAGAGCCGTCTTTGGTGAGTTTGGCTGCCGTTCAGATGTAATAAATTTATGCTTTTAACTCACGGCGAGAATCGACAGCTGAACAACATGGAGGCTGCGAGTCTCAAAATTCAAGCTGCGTTCGGGAGGGTTTTTTAAACCACACTCACATTCTCCCATTAAAGTTTCTCAGCATCCTTGAGACCAAATAATTGGCTTTTCTATGTTTCGTTACTCATAAAACATTTGTGAAAGCTATTTTTGGGGTTTCTTTTTTCTGTCTGGCTGCCAGAAGCCATCTTCTTCCTGTTTTTGGCAGTTTGCTGCACATCTTGGCACAAACCTCCAGCACTAACTGTAGATCGCTGGAACAGTGTCGTCGGCAAAGTGTGCCTCACCACGACACAGGAACGCTGATACTAAGCCTTAAAAACACAGATCCATGATGGCGTCTTTAAGTGTTTAAAACCTGCAAGAAGCTGCAGTGTTTAACCCTCCAAAGAAAATTGAACAGAGTTGGATTTTTCTTTCTTTCGTCACTTAAAATCCTCCCTTAGTTATGCTGCAATAGATGTAGGCTGCCGGGGGATTCCCATGATGCATTGAGTTTTTCCTTTCCAGTCACCTTTCTCACTCACTCTGTGTTAATAGACCTCTCTGTATTGGATCATATCTGTTATTAATCTCTGTCTCTCTTCCACAGCATGTCTTTATCCTGTCTTCCTTCTCTCACCCCAACCAATCACAGCAGATGGCCCCGCCCCTTCCTGAGCCTGTTTCTGCCGGAGGTTTCTTCCTGTTAAAAGGGAGTTTTTCCTTCCCACTGTCGCCAAAGTGCTGCTCATAGGGGGTCATATGATTGTTGGGTTTTTCTCTGTATCTATGAAGCGCCTTGAGGCGACTTTTGTTGTGATTTGGCGCTATATAAATAAAATTGAATTGAATTGAATTGAAAATATTTCCCGTCTCACAGATGCTCGGATGGAGGGTGATCACATCGTAACATTGTGGATAATGAGTCCAGTGTAATTAAAAGCTCAGTTTTTTTCTATTCGCCAATCAGATTGAAGCTGTTTAAGGGCCCCGCCCCTCGGTAGGGGGGTATTCTGTAAATATAATAATAAATGTGAATTTACTGTGTAACTGTGCAACTTTATTAGCAGCGTCCTCCTGACGCCAACAACATTCAGAGTAACAGCCTCCTCTCTGCCCCTTAATGCTCTCTGGTTGCTATGGTAATGCGTAAATATTTATTTCAAAATAAGACGCACAGCTACAACATGGGAAAGACCCAGGAAAACAGAGTTCACGATAAAAACCCTGAAAACCATAAATTTCACACCAGAGCCTCAACTCTCGCAGCGCCGTGGCCCGGGTGTTCTGAAGGCAGGACTGTGATGCCGTTTTCTCTCTCGCCACTAGAGGGCGCGGCCGTTTTGTGAGTAATGTTTTGACTGGGATGAAAAATGGTGTTCATGGAGGCAGTGTGAATCACAAGTTATGCTCGGGAGCAGTTTATGTGGGTTCAATTAGAGTGTGCGTCCATAAGACTGGTGAGTTACAGGATATTT